GCCGCACTCGATGCTGCAGACCCCTTATCGGGCCTTTCACTAGGATTCCTGCGGAATCTCTGCAGCAAACTGTTGCAGCTATCGGAGAGCAATTGTGTCACACTAGACGTTGAACTTCGTGTATAGCGATGTCGTCTCGGCGCCGTCGCTTTATTTGTATCTGTTGATGTTGTTGTCTCTGTGGATTCTGTCACCTTTGGCGCTTCGCCTTTTCTCCCGTCGATTTCCTCATCTTGCTCTTGATTTGTTGTCGATGATGAGGAAGATATTGAGGCCATTGTTGAAGAGATTTATCCTTGATTTTCACCCACGAACAACCAATGTCACACACAAAAGCACACGACGTTGTTTCTTATATCTTTTGCGAAATTTCTCCTCAATCTTCCTTCTCTTTGACTTGATTCACCACTGATTTATGGCCATCAAATGGAAAATTCACTTTTCATCCAACACGACCTTTTCCCAATACTCCCAATCTACATTTCCTCTCCCACGATGAAGATCACAACTACACACACTTTCAACTCTTGATCACACAGACTTTTCCCACGCAGAGAATTCTAAAAAAGAATTTTGTCAAAAATACACTCCTTTTTTCACCACCTTTTCCTCAAAATTTTACCGCACAACATCTCACATCGTCGCACACACACACTTTAGTGCGTGGGAAATGCGCTACTCAAGACGAAGGATCACAAATTTCAGCGTAAAAAGTCACTTCTTTTTAACAAAGGAAAAAGAACTCCACTATTTCGCCGTATTTCCCACCAAAAATTTGCTAACGAGCAGCAGGAACAACAAATGAAAAATGAGAATTTCCTTCAATTATAAATACACCCAAGTTTTCTTTTCTCTCTCTTTCTCTCTCTTCCTCACACTCAATTCAATAAATATTTAAATAAAGTCTTTTACATAGTCTTTCGCGGGACACATTTGAAAAATCACAGATATCCTCCTCCTCTTCCTCGCTCACTCTCACTCTTTTGTCCCACCGCCAAATTTTATACTCAACATTTGCGTAGATATTTGTATTTTATATTAATATGACAGTGAAGTGAGATCACTCATACACTTACACATTCTCAAACATTTTATTTATAAAATTTTATAATAAATTACTAAGAATATTTTCAATTTTCGTTGAGTCTCATTCCCAAAAATATTCTTCTTCCTCAGCTCTTGCGAGATTGTAAAGAAGAAGATCGAGAGAGTGGCGTCGTATTTTAATTATTTCTCACAAATCATATCATTTTAAATAAAATATATATTTTTCAACCATTACGATCGAGTTTTCCTATCACATAACTTTTATTTTTCTTTGATTTATAAGCACTCGTGGTCGTAGAATAATTTTTGAAATGTCGTTTTGGAGACACAGAATTAAGAGAATTTTTCTCAATGAACACACTTTTTTTTCTCTTCGCGTTATAACATTTCATTCAATAATCTCTCGTCAATACACTTGATTTGTATATTTCGGCGATCATTATTAATTTTTTATTTCGCGCAAACACTCGAATATATTCTTTTCTCTCACTGGTTTGAGAAAAAAAACGAGGAATTTCGCTCGATTAAAATCAATCGCACAATTGAGATTTTCACACTGACGAAAATGCGAGTGGTTTTCTCTCTATTCTTGCGCCTCACATTTTGCGATCTTCACACATCATCCCATCACCGGGGGGATATTCAACTAATTCAAAATTGAGCCAGTGACTTCATGGGAATAAGACAGAGTGCGCGGCATCTCTCCTGCTCACACGCTTCCTCTCCTCCTCCTCACATGAAAATCTGGCCAGAGTGTTGCCCGATGCTGGCATTTTCTTCCGCGATTCCACTCTGTGTGTTCGCGGTGCTGCGCGCATGAGAGGAAAACACAACCCGATCGTGAATGTGCGGTGGAAATATTCGCGGACTTGCCGTGGGATGGAAAAACCATCACCAATTTCTCAAAACGTCATTTCATTTGTGAAAAACTCTCGCTGGTAAAAGCCTGGGGATTTTACCACTGTGAAAAGCTTCTCTCTCTTTCTCTCTCTCTCTCTCACTTTCCCGATTGCGCACGAAAACTAATCTCGAGAGAACAGAAAGAGGATCATATTAAAATCACTTTCCTACAGTGAAAGAGTAAAAGAGATATGACGATGAAGAGGAGAAAGAGGCTAAAAATATCGTAGAGCATAGGAAAATGTGGCTTAATAAAATGATACACAACAAAGATGTGTAGATTTAGTTGTGAGGTAAATTTTCCTTGAGACAGAGGAGAGATCAAGTGAGGAAGTAATCTTGAGATCTCTTGATATGATGGAAAAATCATAGTTTTTTCTTGTAAATGTCTTAATCATAAAACACCTCCACAATTTCTTCTTCTTTCTTCTTTTTGTCTTCAATTCTACGTGTGTCGCATCACTGTGAGAAATTTACTCTTCCCTTCGCAACCACACGATCGAGGAGTTTTGCACACACAATCAATTGTTATAATGTCACTCTCCTCCGCATTTGAGTGCCAAATAATTCAACGACTTTCAATTATTTAAGACTCTGCCAATCACACACTCTGTGTGATCCTATTAAATTTAAACGCATCTCACAGTCAGCATTTTCACTCGACACCTTCAACCAATCCTCGATCATTCGTCTGATTAGGTGGCGGAGTCGCAATGACGGAAAAAGACAAAGTGCGCCACACATCTTTAAGGTACAAAAACAATACTTCAATATCTTCATCTTCTTTTCATTCTATACACCTAAATAACTCTCTTTCATCGAGGTGTATACAGCACAGAATGATTGAAAAATTACTTTCTTTCCGCCCCCACAATACAGAATTTATATTTTCTCTATGTCTCGGCAAAAGTTGAAGATCATTTTACGTCATATCTATCCTATGCTATGCGCATAGCCATCAGACTGGCACGAAAGAGAGAGAGAGAAAACGAATCATTTTTATCCACTCTCCGCGACCCCCACAAATTGCGCCACGCCAGAAATAATACCGCGATGAAATAAACTCTATATCATTCGTTATAGTGTTAAAAATACTCCACGAGGAAGAGAATTCACAATATAATTGCAAAATTAATCTTACAAAGATTCGCATCTGTGGGTGAGACGAAGAAAAAAAAGAAAGAAATACTCAAGAGGAATATCTCACCTCATCTCTTCTGCAATTTTCACAAAGAATCAATTGGTTGAATCAAAAATAGATGACATTTATGTTTATTTTTCATCTATTTTTGATCATGTGCGTCTTGAGCAATTTTCTCACTCTCTCTCTCTGAGATCTTTGTCTCAAAATTCATTTTCTCTCACTATGTGGTCTCGTCTCGTTCAGTATTAACTCAAAAATTATACGCCAGAGCGTTTACACAAAATTAAACAACAATCTCTCCTCTAGTAGATTCATAAAATTTTACGATTTTGCACAAAATTTTCAAGTACAACAACAAATGGTGTTTGTTTGTTGTTGTTGTATAGTTCAACGAGATTTCAAAGCCTCTTTCTTAATGATCAAGATCACTCCTCAATTTGGTACAATCACTGCGGGTTGTTGAAATTCTCTTGCACAGGCGAGCAAAATTTCCCACTCTTTCTTCTTCTTCTTGATTACAACCAGAAAAAAAAGAGATCAGAAGGTGGTTCGAGAGGAGGGTGAAGGGCAAAGGAGTTTATATGTGAGCGAGAGAGAGAGAGACTTTTTCGTGAAAATAAACCAGATCACAAAGATCATTAAAACTTCTTCTGTGTTGTGTGTGCAGGTCAAACACACAGCACAAAACACACTACTCGCATTATCTTATAAATAGATTTATCTTCAACAAAGGTGACTTTAGATCAGCCTTTGTATATTCACTACTCTGATTTTTTACATAAGAACTACCCATTATTATCCACCCTTGGCATCTACAGTCTTTGATCTCGTAATATTTCTCTTTTTTCATAATTATTATGCTTCTTTTTTTTAAGGCGGAAGACAACCACGTGAGAATCTATCAACTTAAACATCTGCCAACACACAAAAGATCGTCGTCACATTTACTCTCCCTCAAGCAAAACTCCATTCACACGCGCACTTGCTCCACTTGTTATGTGTAATTAAAAATTGAGCATCGCCGGCCATCATTGAGCATCATTAGTGATTACATAAATACACAATGTCCGATGATGATGATGATGGGAAAATTCGTGCAAATGATGGTTTGTGTCTCTGTGCCAAATATAATTTTGGCTTGACCCAAATTTGGAATCAACCACACACAAACACACACATTCGCTACACACAATCCAAAAACATTTATGCTGTGGGACATCAAAACAACAAAATTCTACAAGAAAACCATGTGTGGCATTCCACACAACTGATGGACACAACAAAAGACGCCCGAAAGAGAGAGAGAATTTAGCGTTGCATGCAAATTCTCCATCGCAATCAAACAATGGAGATAAAAATTGAGAAATCACACTCTGGGGGCTTTTCCTTGTTCACATAGGAAAAACAAAAAGATCCACCAGTTTGATTAATTGCAAGATCAGTCAAAATCCATGCACAAACACACAACAACAACAAGAGGGAAGATCAAACTTGGTGAAGAATGAACGACTCTTCTTGTTATATGTCTCTTTCATCTTCAAAAAAATTAAAAAAAAAATCTCTCACACAATTTGGTGAAGAGTTATTAATATTGCGAGAAATTGCATCAAGAATCTCGTTATTTTCTTCTCTGATATATAAAAAAAAATATCGTGAGATTTAGCCAAGAAGCACAAGATTAAATTTAAAATATATTTACAGATTACAGATTATCAAAAATTGAATGTTTCCAAAGAAAGACAGAAAGATCATTGTTTGACAGATTTTAACAAAAATTTCTGATTGTCTTTTTCATCATTGTCATTCCCAATGGAAGACACTCAATCTCAGACATTCTGCAGAGAAAGATAAAATAATGCATAAATACTGAATCAATTTGGCAAGAGTGTGTCTTTGTGAAAAAGGCTACCTCATTGTCGAGACACGATATGAAATCAGTATCGAGATGGAGGTTTTGGGGGATGTTCTGCACTGGGAGATGATCATCAGGCACCATTGGCGCTGGTGGATGCAGAGCTGGGAGGATTGCTGGTGGTTGTGGCGGTGGTGGAAACCACAATTTGGGCTTCGGTTGACTCACATTTGGCGGTTCAATCACGATATTCGCTTTCGATGAGAAGATCGGCGGCGTCGGCGCCGGCTGAGGCGGTGGCTGAACGAAGGAAGTCTTGGACGTTGACTGGGAGAGCTTGAAATTGCTGACTGGAATTCGGGCTTGGGCGTCTGGTGCACCTGAAACTTGATTCACTCTGCTGCCCACTCCACATTGATCCAGTGGTCGCTGAAAGAGATTCACCGTGGTGGACTCTTTGCGTATCTCGTGGTCAGACAGTGTGGGAATGCTGGTTGCACCAGTTGCAGTGAATGAATGTGGTGGTTGCGACAGTAGATCCGTGTATGAGACTTTTTTCCCACCACTCTCACCACCGCACGTCCCATGTGTCGCCGCCGCCGCTGCCGCTGCCGCCGCACTCTGCTGGTGAGCCGACGATGACACAGTCACTGGAGGTGGTGGCTGAACCAGTGATTTATTCCACTCTGTGCCAAGATTTAAGAGTGACGCGATATTTTGATCCAATTTATCATCCAACTTCTTTTCACTGCACTTCCCAACAACAGTCGCCAAGCGATTCCCAGAATCCGTTCTTCCACTTGTCCCACCGACGACGACTCTCTGTGTCGCCTCATTACCATGCAAATTTGGTGCGACCTGTGGAGTCACACTGGCGACACTGGACGACGACGACGATGGACCGCCACATTTTTCACCTTTGTTCTCAACAACGCCACTACTCGTAGACTGGAATGCCGATGGCAATTGACCATTTATCGGGATGTGGATGCTTGAGATTTTCGTGAATGGCGGATAGTTGATCACAACTTTGTTGGGTTGCGGAATATTCTGTTTGATGAAGAAATTATCCGCACACGTTGGCGGCGGTTGTTGTCCATTTCCTGAACCCGAACTCTTCCTCAGCAAATCATTATTCCGCAACACCATCCGATTGGACGTGCTGATATCGCCACCAGAGAGATAATCATTCCACAATGGAGACGTTGCAGCTGTGACAGCGGCAGCAAATTGCTGGTAAGTGGATTCTGTTTTTGGCGGTGGCGGAGGTGGAGGTCCCTTGTTGAGTGTCTCACCTATTCGCTTCCCAAAGACACAAGAGCTGGAAGTGCTCTTCATCAGACATCTCGACGGTGCCACTGGCTTCTCCGTCAACTCTGTCACTTTCACAGCTGGCATTTGGCTGGTTATACAACTGTTTGAGGAGCTCTTGCACAGTATCACGGGCTGTCGCTGCAGCTGAGTTGGCTGCCGGACACTTGTGGTGAGCCATGGCAGGTTCATCTTACTATTCACATAGCTCCTTGAGCCATAACTGGCCACATTACTATTATTATTATTAGCATTGTGCGATATCGGAACATTGGTATATGATATACTCTTCGATATTGGATTAAATTGTTCTGCTGCACTCTTTGCGGTTTCCTGCTTCATGGCAGCAAATTGCGGTTGACTCTCGTGACAAACCAATTTATACAGATCCTCCTTCGATAAATTCCGCAAATTTGCCCCCCTATCGAGGTGAGTGTGGGAAAAATTCTTACGCAGCTGAAAATTACCATTGTGCACATTCATATTCCCATCCTGATTGTTTGATCTCAAATCATCCTTCGATCCTGACATTATCTTATCATAATTCCAACCTATTTTGCTCTTATTCGTACTTTTACTGTTCACATTCTCACTCCAGAAGTTATTGAGAATTCTCTTGCTCGAATTGGGATTGCCTTGATTGTTGTTGTTATTAGCTGGATTTGTTGAATACGGTGTGAAAGCCGTTGATGAGGTACTCTTTTGAATGCCTTTGTGAAATACTGACGGCGAATCCTGAGCCTCACGCGGCACTTGTTGATAGGATCCAGGATATTGAGGCTTAAAGATCGGTATTTGTGAACTGGATGTACTTCGACTGATCTTATTTGATTGCGGAATACAACCACCACTGAAGGGATTTGTGAAGTTAAAGCCTTCTTGCCTCTTTCCGAATGTCGTCATCGCATTTCCACCACTATTCATAATACTGTGATACGAATTTGATTTGGCCAATTTGGCATGCTTCACATCATCCCCCGAATGGGTTGAATTATTATAGCCAAATGGTGTATAAATGGCATCTTGCTTAACACTCTGGCTACTGCCATATCCACTGCTACTCCCATAAATTGTCTTCGAGTCCAAATCACTGTAGCTCGGCAAACTCTTCAGGTAGTTGTTCATGTAGTCAATTTCAGCATTATACATGTCGCAGTTCCTCAGCGAAGTGCTCGCTGATCCTGGTGGCGTGGTCAAATCAATCAAGTCATCATCATCATCCAAATCAGTGACATTGACAATGCTAATGGGTTCACTGGATGTAATTGGAACACCATCAATAATGACAACTTTGCTGTTCTTCCTCACATTATTGCCACCACTTAAATTCCCTACATTATTACTAGTATTAACACAGTTCTGATTGCTGTTATCACAATATTTAACTTGATTCATTATTGGCACTGTTGCAGATGAACACACGGGTCCATTATTTTGGTTTGATGTTGTCACATGAGCCTCCATGGCTGGATACATCAGCATATTCAATGGATTCTCACAATAATCCGCCAAATCGTACGTTGACATTCGATTGTCTGTCTGCAAAAGGTTAAAATTTGTTGCTACTTCAGAACCAAGAGAAAAAAGAAAGAATTTATGACAACAACTTGTGCTCCTTCTTGAGGAAGCATGTGTGTGGAAAATTTCTCTATGCTTGAAGATTTTTCACAATTCTTCTTCTTTACTTTTAAACGCGCGCAACTTTCAGCTAAAAAATCACGCTATTTTTGTCTTTTTTGTCACGCACGACAGAGAGGAGGTGGAAGAAAAAAGAGTGAATCGAGTGAGATGGAAATAGAAAATCTCACTCTCTCTCTCTCTTCTCCACTCACGAAAATAGCCACACACTTTTTTTTCTGGCGCATTGTCTTCCGATGAAGAGACACAAACACACACACACACCAAAGAGTGTGATGAAAATATTGTGTTGTGAACTTCAAAAAAGACAAGAAAATGCCTTTTTTCCGTTCACGCAAATCACGGGGTGAAAAGTTACTGAGATGAAACACTGAATGACAGGATAAATTCGGCACAACACGTAAAAGAAACGTCAACCTTTTCTCTCGCAAAAATTCCCATCAAATTTATCTTTTTTCACAGGCAATTAAAAAAAAAACACGTCCCAAGAAAGGATATGAAATAACACGTAGAGAAATAAATAAAAAAAAACGATTTTCTCTTGAAAAATCTTCAAATACAAAGGAATTAGTTACTTATTTCTTTCGTGATAAAGAAATTATTATAAGAGAAAGAGAAAACCACAAATAGAAACCTTTGTCAATTTGAGCGGTGCGTCCGGAAGGTCAAGTGGCTTCTTTATGATTATCTTCCTGGTGCTTCCGTCCTGCTTGCGAATCGTTATCTTCTTGATCACGTACTTTCTCAACTTCTGCTGCGGCTTCACACCCTCATCAGCTGCTGCCTCGTCCACCTTCTCGTGCGCCTCTCCATTGGCCACACTCGTGTCACCCTTGTCACTCTTGGCGTCCTCCCCCTCCTCCTCCTCGTGCTGCTGCTGCCGATGGCGATGGTGGCGATGGTGCCTGTGATGGTGTTTCTTATCACGCGCGCTGTACTGCTGCTGCTTGTGCGACTGCTGTCCCCCAACACCGTTCACAACCAGCGGAGACACTGAGTGTGATGCTGATCCACAGGATGAATTTGAAGATTTTCGATTGGCCTGCTTCGGCACTTGAAGTGTACTGACGCCATCCATCGGCATCTGAACGCCCGCCAAATTGCTGGCATTGGTCGTCGACGACGACGCCGATGTTGGCAGTGACGGTGATCGAGCTTTAATCGTGCCCGTTAGCGTTGGCACCACCAGCTGAGGTGTCACAATCGCCACAGACTCTTGGGACTCAACGGGCAACAGTCGCGGAGCATCTGGATTAAGACATGGTTGGGAGTGACAGCAAAAGAGAGCATTTCTCGGTGTACATTTCGTTGTACCTTCATCCAAACTCGTTGAATGCATAATTCGTCTTCGTGTTCCACCAAGCACACCACTTTTCACAACACTATATATTTTCCTTTCCCCCTCTCCAAAACACACGTCTCTCTATTCACTGTTTTTCCTCAAGTTCTTCTTCTTTCTTCTCTCTTTCAAATGGAGTTTCTAGCACATTTTCATCTTCTATGTATAGTTTTCGCTCTTCATGAGAAAACTCTTGACTCTCTAAACACCACCCTAAATTACAAACCGAATATCATATTTGAAATTCATACGATGAAATGTGGCTACGATTGAAAGACAAATTTATTGCATTGCTCGTTATCATCATTCCACTCAATTTGCCTCCTTAGCAGTCTCTCTATCTCTCTCTCTTTTTCTCTCTCTCTCACGCCCTATGAAAGACGATCACGATTTTTTGAAGATCACTTGTTAGGAGCCTCTGAAAATCCCTCCTCCACATCTTCACCTCCTCCCAAAACCCCACACTTGGTTTATATCTAAATTTGTAGCACATTCACTTCAACACACAGAGATTGTGTGTTTTAAAAGCTAAAAATACAATATGATTGGGAGGCAAAAATACAACATAACATACACTGTGATGCCTGTATAAATTTTCTGTGTGAAAATACACAAGGAGTAGGATGAGGAAAGAAACTGAAAATTCAGTATATAAAAAGAATCAAGGATTTTTCCATGCGTCCAAAGTGTGATATACACCATGATCTTCAATCGATACATCTGACCTGAACAGCACACAGATCATGGGAATGAATCAAGCCTTAATTACAATTCTCTCGCTAAAAGCTTCAAATAGGAAAGAGACGATCATGGTTGAATAAGTGAATTGTGTTGATTTGCATCCAAAATAATTGTCCAACGATAGAGAGATTGAGAGAGAGAGTCAAATATTGAAGTCAATGACGCAAAAGTCGATGCAATAAAAATTTCTTTCACCACCTCACAGAATCTCCTCTTCTCACGTCCATAGAGAGTCAAGTGAGCGCGCCCTCCCCTCGTGAAAAGTCTATCTATGTAGTTTATTTTAAAACGGAAATTATCCACTGAACAACAGTATGAGTTATGGGTACAATTTTGCACACATACAGAAGAGGAGAAAACACATTTGTGTACAGACAGCAGTGCAAGAATTATGTGATTCATCAATTTAATTTTGTACAATTATTATTATTATTGACCGATGGATTCAGAACATCAGCATCCAGAAAATAATAATAATTGTGGAGTGGATTCATGATCATTCACAGATTTTTGCCACACACTTTAGAAGGAAGTGTGTGGCTCGTAAAATGCGACTAATTTCGTCATCTTGTCAATTTTGTGTCGTGCCTTCTTCACAACCCAGAATTTATCAGGCATTCACAAGATCACTTGAACAGTTTTATAGATCACTCTTGAGTGTTGCAATTCTTTTTCTCTTGCTTGCTTGCTTCACTTCTATCACGAGTTTAGCACCAATTCACAAAAAAAAAGATGAGATTATTATAAATTCAGGCACATTATTATTATTATTATTCCTTCATGTTTGAAAACATGTATGAATACATATTGATAATCTTGTGTGTCACTTTCACTTCACCGAATAATTTTTTGGTTCTTAACTTTTTTAAAATGTGATCTGAATGTCATCTTTTTCCATGTGAAAAAAGCCTTCTCAAGCAGTTCAATGTCTTGTTTTTTTTTAATTCTGTGTGACGTAAAAGGGTGGAAACGACACAACACACACATGATACAGTGAATAAGTAAATGAAATAAATACTAAAGTTGCTAAAACTGCACAAATATTGTATATATATTTTCAAATTGATGTGAGAGATTAGAAGAATAATAATAAAAACTCAACTTTGTGGTGTATATCGATCAGCTAGTCACAGAAGCCGAACAGTCACAGGCTTTCGAGCAGCGATAGAGATTCTCTATAGCCGGACGATCGCGCCGCGAGTAACTCACATGCCACATTTCTCTATCTCTCACACAAGATCCTCTCTTTTCCATATGCACAACAACAAACATTCTCTCACAACCAAACCATGGGTGGATTGGCGCATGTCTCTTGATCCCCCTCAATCGTCTCCATCCCGAGACACCCCCCCATATTTTGATGCCCAACCAAAATATTCAACATCATCCCATGATATACGACGATCATGATCTTTCTCTCTCTCTCTCTCTCACACATTCATCCACTCTCCTCCATTCATGAATGTGTACCGGATGGTTGTCTCTCGAAAAACACACTCTATTTTCCCTACGATCACACAAAAACTTTTTGATATAGAGCAAAAGCTCATTAAATACGCCAATTTTCTCTCTCTCAACGCTCTATTCTCTCTGTCTCTCATCATCATAACAACTACAATTGTGCGTGCGCAGTGGAGTTTCCTCAAATTCAGTACAGTGCATCTCACAGGATCAATTTGGGATAATCACACATCGCATTTGTGAGTCATCTGGACGATGAAATCATTGGGAAATGTTTCAAATGGCCCAGTGTAGACGAAAATATCTTTGTTTACTGGAAATGTGGTGGAGTTTTCCACAAACTCTGTTATTTTACGATTGTGAAATTCAATCTTTTAATTTATCATCAAACATTTATGCACGAACCACACGAATTAGTTTATCAATTTTCACCCCAAAAATAAAAATCTCTAACTAAAAATAGCATTTTATGCATTGCAATACTACACAGAGTGGTATTTCAATTGGCAATCCCTGTGGAATGAAGACTCTCTCTCTCTCTGTATTTCTCATTGACAATTTCAAAAGTAAAGATCATTCAGTGGATTTGATAGTCATGGCCTAAACCTCAATTTGAATATATATTTATCTCTCTATCCGTCATATCAAGTAATTTCTTCAAGAGCCCTTGATCGATTGACTTAAATATCTTTTCTCTCCCCGAATTTATCACCTTTCATTTCACCCACTTGTGTTACAACATACTAAATCCTCTCTTTAAATAGATTTCTAATTATTGATTCTCTCTCTCTCACAAAAAGCTATTAATCGGAAAATCAAGTACAATTTAATTGATTTTCAATGTAAATGAGAGAGAAAGAATACAAATACAGTCAAAGTGCTTCACACTTCCGGTCAATAGAACGGCTATTCTCAATCAAGAAGAGAAGATTATGACTCAAGTGCCAAGACGACAACTCTATAAATATTAAGAAATATTATATTGTTCCTTTTGTACATTCAGTTGAGTTGAAAAGTGCACGAGATCTTTGACTAATAATTCAAATACTTATTAGTTGAATAAATATTTAATTAAGTATCAAATGATTTATTTGATGATGAGATTGATGTACAACCATTGTTTGATATTCCATCTATTTGTGTTGATTGTCTCACACCCTCTTCGGACTTGATCTCTTCTTTTTTTTCTTTTATTCTTAACAGCTAATTTATTGACATGAGAGAATGTTCTCTAACTTCACACAGTTCAATTGAAGATAGAAGACACACAAAATAAGAGATGACTTAGAGACGCCATCGATTTTTCATTTTCAAAATAACATTTGCCAAGTCTTCTCTCACTCTCAAATACACACAAAATGTGCAACTGATGGCGAGATGCTCAAAGGAAAACATACAATGTATTTTTAGGCGCAGTTAAAAGTACTTGTGCCCGATGAAAATCACCACAAAACTCCCTTCATCGCGAGATTATCATTATCTCGATCAACTTCTCAACAATTCAACATCAATTTCACTGCAACGTTTAGTCGATAAACCAATTTTGAAGTGGAGAACATTCACACGCATTCACACACATTTAAAAGCACAACATCATGAGAAGTCAAAATATTATTTCAGTCATCTTATCAGTTGTTCTCGTTTAAATACATTAGCAATATATAGAGAAGTCTCATGGGAAATTTCATCATTCATCATAATGTTTAAGAGCATTTTTAAGTGAATATTTCTCGTTGCATTTATGATTTGGCAGAATTTTTCTTGTTTCTTAATTGTTTTGCAAAATTTCTCTTCGCAAAAAAATATCAGTCATAGAGACAGAGAAATATTATTAATTTACGCAAATATATTTTGTATATGGATAATAATACCTAAACAGTTAAACAACTACAACGGAATTATACTACAATTTGTACTCTTTCTTTAGGGGGAAAAAGGGAATTGATATTTCGGAAGCAAAAAGGAGGAAAAGAGAGTTGTTAAGAAAAATAAATAATAGGAAAAGTTGAGAACCTGCATATAAAATGGAAATGTTTTACCTTGACTGGCGTTATCCTATTTTCTTCCCTCTCTTTAGCTCGGTCCCTCTCCCGGTAACGACGTCGTGAATTACTATGCGATCTCTCATCACGATGACGATGCCTCAAATTCCTACGTCCTGACGTTGGACTACGACGATGATGGGATCTCTTAGAGCGTTCTCTGTGTCGACGCGATGATCTATCGTAGCTGCAAAGGATGCAACAAATCACATTAGTCAATAAATTAACATTCAATTTAAACTTGCAACGATTGAAATTCAATTTGACACTTTACGGTTGAATTATCTCAAGACTATTGACAATGTCTTCCACATCTTTTTCACTATTCTCCAGTATTTCCACAGATAATCGCCCCTTCTCCGTATTTATGCAGAACAACTGAAGAAACTTGTAGCACCACATTGCAATAATAATTCATGTAACAACAACCATAGGTAATTATATTGCAAAGTGCTGTTACTCCCTATGGATGTACAAACACAGAGATTCAAAAACAACTTTTTCAACTCTCCGCCATTGGCACAAATTCAATCAATCGGAATTTATATATTTAAATACAACTCAACATAAGCAGATGCCCATGATGATCGTATGCGAGCAAAATGACAAATTCAACTGAAATTCACACTGCAGCTTCCCTATTTTAATTCACTATCTCTCCGCGTCTCAGACATTTCTCTCAATCTAATTTTTTTATATTATTATTTTCCTTCCTTTTTTCCCTTTTGCACTGCTCAATCTGGCGCGAGAACGTCACTCAGCATCCAATATACTGATAACTCCACCACTATACACAGATCTCAATTCATTCAACAGTGGTAGAGAATGAATATTATGATTCTTTTTTCGCCTTTCTCACAACTGATAAGCAACGCTGTGCGGAACAAAGTGAAACTCATACAAAAGGAAGAACACACAAACTGTTTTAGGTTCTGCTGCAAAATTATGATTATTCAGAAGTGTGAAGAAGGCAAAGACAGCTGGACTGACGAATATACACTTTCCGAAAATCCCCTGCGGCTGCATTATAATGCTTCTATGGTAGAATTGCTACCGAACTTGCCTGAGAGCTTAATCGGTTTCTTAAATGTTATCTTAAAGTACATCTTAATAGTTTTTAGATGCCCAGCACAAAAGTGATTGATATGCTAATGACAATGGTTTTTAATCGTTTGCTTTACGACATCGTAAAATTCCACAAACTTAATTTGATACATCTTATAAGAGAGTGTCTCTAATGTCTCTAGATTTAATACGGCGAAAGGTTTAATGTCACACAAGAGACAAATGATCATATCGAACCAAATAAACATGCAATCAGACAAAAAAAATAATGAATTCTAGTTTAAATTTTTATGGAATCTAAATCTCTATCAGCCATATGTCTCCGATGAAGAAAACCACACAACACAAGACTTGTTGAGAATTTTGTCTTATTGTCTCTCGTTGAAAATGACATAATCACACATGTCAACGTGCCACACAGTGTTTTCGCACGGCCAAAAAATTTCAGAGACGCCGGTGTATTTATTACACAATAAAAGTGTCCCATTAATTAAAATGATTTCACTTGAGATCTCTCTTTTTGGCAAATTAGACAGAGAGGAAAACTCTTTCAGCAGAAGATTGTCTTCAGTCTAATCATTAGCCGGTTTTTCTTACCGCAGCATTCAGAGGCAGTGTGTGATCTTTTTTCATATATTTAAGATTGCCCTCAGTGAAATAGAGGCAAATCGAAATCCCCACAGGCAGAATGATATCACAAGAAGTCAATGACAAGTTCAAACGACGCGGAGATTTTTACACACACACAAACACAACACACTCGCGCGAGCATCTGAGAGAGTCAACAAATTAAGAAATTGGCGAAGAAGGAGAGACAACTCATAAAGTCAATAGACTTTTTGATTTTTCGAGATCAAAAGCCGCTTTGTCTCTATTTGGTTAGTGAAACAATAAAATAATAATTACAAGTAGATGAAACAAAAGTGAAAAAGTGGTCTGAAAAACCGTCACAAGCTTCAAGAATGCCATGTGGATTAAATAGTGTCTTGAAACTCTGCTGAATATCTCGCAAGTGATCAATCTTCAGGCAAAGAAGAAGAAAAAAACACATTAGAATTCTCCTGTGTTTCCTCAATTTATGCCACACCGTTTATGCTTCTAGAGTGACTGCATAGTGTATTGTAGATGAGCACAAAAAATATGAAACACATATTAGGCGATTCGTGGCTCAATGTTGATTTTTCACAACTCCTGGTTTTCAACTTGCACACAAAAATTTGCCTTGAATTTTAAATTATTTCCCGCAAGAGCTCTAATTCACCCACCCACGCAGATTCTTCAAACACACACACACACACTCAAGAAGTACTTACAAAACACCCGTAGAACAAAAACGCATGTCAATATAGAGAAGCTGCTCTCTAACAAGTGAGCAAAAAACCAACAACCACTCTTTGGTGTGAAAATTGAAACCACTTCGTTATTCTTTACCGTTTTTCACAAAAACGTCAGCAAAAGTGGGAAAGGTTTTAAAGAATCAATTTCATGATATTCGACATTAATTGCTCAAGAGATCGTCTTTCTTGTGTGTGAATATCACGATCATCACACAAAAAACAACAAGTCTCACTGGGTGAAGAAGAAGCGTGAGTATCAGCTTTTACATGTCAAGTCTTAAGCTTCTCAAGCACGAGAGAATCTTCAGATTCCCCCGCAAAGACTATGTCAAGAATGATTGAGGAAAAACATTGAAAAAATATTACGTGAATTTCCTGGAGAAGTAAATCCAATTGACCCACATAATTAATTTATGAGTTTACCGTTAAACGGTGTCATGCAAAAAGATCGCGATCTTTCGCAATTGAACCAACATCATCATCATCAGAGAGAAAGAGTGCACGAATTAAGAACATATTGTTGGTAAGAACAAGGAACTCTCCTGTGTGTGATTCAAAACACGCAATGAATAAATTGACAAAGACACTTCTCTCCATAGCGATTTATCATCTTCATGTAAGCCACTTCTTTTCTCTGTGCCAACAAAATGGCATTTCACAAAGGAAAATGTATTTAAATGGCATTTGAAATTTCACACAAAATTTTGCACCTTCAATATTGTCACTTCAAACATACGAGTAACTAGTGTTACTTCACACTTTTGCCCAAAAATGAAAAAATTTCTTGAGACTCTATAAAATAAATGTTAAATAAAATGGTAAATATTTGTCCTCTGAAGTTCGCGCCTTTGACACTCCGCGAGCGACTAATTTCAATCCACACGAAGAAGTCATTAAAGAAAAGGAGATTTTTTCCACATCTCACACACTCTTTTACGCCCATTTTGGTATTTATGAAGACAACAAAAAAATACAACATTATTGCCATCGATAGTGAAAATATGACGAAGTGCGTGAATGATGAAATTAAGAAGTAATATAAAAAAAGACTTTACTTGAATTGAATCCAGTGTATAAAGACCAAGGCAAGAAAAAAAGCAAAATGAGTTTAAAGTCGCTCCTCAGTTGCTGTTTGGCAACCGTCCGAGCATAAAAAGCACTCGTAATACCCAACAATCGACATCATACTGTTCCGCTAAGGTCATTCAATTAATATTTGTGAGATGTCTTACGATTTTTAATTTAACAATTAAACAAAAAGTGCCTCTTCAATCTGCACAACTTCTGCTCTTTTTTTCACCCTCTCTTCACGCGTAATCAATGAATGTATCTCTCTCTCATCTTGGCAATTTTCGCTAAAGACATAAATACAGTAATCCCAAACTTCATGCGCGCCTTCTTTTCTCTTTCAATTGAGACAAAACATTGCACACCAAACGAAACACCGAACAGCGACGGCGCATTGCACGGTGACCAACTTCCATGAAAAAGATCAACATAAAAATTTACACTCCGTGAAACATGCCGTATAGAAAGTGATATTCGTGTTTATTTGATAATTTATCACACACAATTCAGTGATTAAATTAGTTTTCTTATATATCGTCTCTCTCTCTCTCTCTCTCTCTCTCTCTCTCTTTTCAACTTGTTCTTCTTTGGTTGTGAATTGTTGCCGAAAAAATGTGTGAAAGTTGCCGTAAATGGATGGAATGTCACCCAAAAGTCTCTTTATCATTTCTTTTGCTTTTAAAACCCGATGCGATATAATGCAGAAAAAAGGATTTCAACATTGAATGGACAAGACTTTTTACGCGAAATGACGTTCTTTTTTTCGTCTTCTTGACAATCTGACACGACTCACGCGTGAACAATTAATGCGTATTTATTTTTTTTTAGGAAAAACCCTGATAGAATTTGTCCCTGAAATTTCCCAAAAAGATTCTCTCCCCTCGACAAGTGATCTTTAAGTGATATTTTGACATGTTCTTTGTTACATTATTCACACACAAACGATGATGATGATGATTACCATTTATCAAGCCCAATTGACTAATGAAAGGAGGAGCATTTCGAGGCATCACCCTCATCAACACAAATAGTAAAAATTACACGTTTCATTCAATCCACTTTAAAGCCATTTATGGACTTCCTTCTTCCTTCTCTATACAGACACTGAACTTCTCTCGTCCGTCAAACACATTCTGCTGTTATATCGAATAGATATATTGAGGCTTTTGACTGATAAGTCACGATTCAATGTAATATAAAGGAAGAACAAGAAAAAAAAATTCATCATCCTATTCCACCCAAAGTCAGACTAATAAATCGATAAAAAGCATTAAGCTGATTAATATCGCGCAAATCTCCTCACACTGTTTCTCTCTCTCTCTCTCATATTTAGTGGATGAATGGAAAGCCATTACCATTTACGGTAATGTCTTAAATTTTCAATCTCTCGTCTCCCTCATTATGGTCTCATTTTTTTAACCCGCGCGCCGCCACTCTTTTCCTCTCGTCTTTGCGCCCCGCGAACGGACACTTGGCCCAATATTTCTCGTCATACATCATTCTTTTCTCAACATACACACTGTTTATGCATTCAAAAATGGCTATGAAGAACTTTTTATGCTGATTTTTTGCCACCACTTCAAGAAGTCATGCTCATACAGACAGATAGAGCAAAAAATATGTAAGAATTACAATTAAAATTATTCATGTGGCACACACTCTGTGTCTCACCAATTTTGTCATTCAGAGACACAAGACTCAAACTACACAGAGAGTCTCTCTCTCAGCTCAATATATGGTAAAACGGAGAGAAGGAAACCTCTTTTTTCTTATTATTATTTTCAACGACTCTATAGTTCATTTGCTCAACGAACACAATATGCTGAAGTTGAATTAATTGTTAGAATTTCTCGCGAAAGAGATTAAATATTAATTTTTGCATGCGAATGTGCCACAATTTTGCAATAATTGCATGTAATAGATAGAAAGGAGAATAACGCACGTGTGGGTGGTTTTAAGAGAAATATACACAATTGTCGAGACTTTTACATGCTCAATAGCCACGAAGAGTGTCTGCGAAACTGGCAATATGGAGCAAGAATATTTATAGAAGAGATCAAATCAATTTTCAAACATGCGCAAGTTTTGCAGCATTTGCAACAAATATTATTATTATTATTCTTATTATTCAAGTTGTTTTCCTACACAATTAAGATTTCTCTCAAAAATTTTTTGATAGGTCTCTTCTCTTTTGATAGGCATAAAACCAGTCGTGAAGTGAACTTTTTGTGAACACTTTTACTTCCAACTTTTCCCTCTGTGTGTTTTTCCTCAATCTCAACCACAAAATTTCCATAATAAAATCCCCAAATGCGCCAATCGATTCAGAAAATCGACGATATTCGATCGCACAAGAAGTCGCAAAGTGAAAAAAAAACTGTTCAAGAGAGAAATCCACCAAGAAGAAATAAAAACAACATAAAATATGCTCTCACATACACTAAAAACACACACACATTCTTCATATAAAAAGCTTCATTGACATTGAGACTAATTGAAGCATACAGATCCAGTTTCACTTCTACTTCTGTGTAATAACAACATCATCAGCAGAATTACACAGCATATCGTCCCGAAAAGAAGTCTTGGATGAATAAAAAAAACGACCACCCAACTAATTGTTTCAATGAATGTCAATGATACAGGAAATTATAAAATTTCTATTCATTGCAAATTATGAATTCTATTGACTCTTTACACACTTCGTGTCACTTCTCAACTTGACTGTCTGTATATTATTTCTTTCCTCAGTAAACAAACACATTACATGTTCTCTCTTTGCTTCACAGGAGAAGCGAATTGTCAAGGATTTATCGCCCAAAAGAGAAGAAGAAAAAAAAATCATTTCATAGACAATTTGTGATTTTTGCCAAAGCGAGTGTATTAATCAATTTTCTATAAATTGCAAAGATACTTCTTTGAAGACATTCTGCGATCTGCACACAATAAATTACCATCATTTAATACTCTGTTTACATTCAAAGTCACACATGTGAAGTTATGACAAGAAAAAAGAGCGATAAAAAATTGCATTGTTAATAATAAAACTCCTCGAGATTGAGAAGAGATGGAAAATGTCCCTTGAATATCGTCTCTCTGTCGCATCTCAGAATGGATTTATCAATCGAGACAGGGTCACAACAATTAATATTAATAATAATAAATTCTTTCTTCTTTGTGCACAATTAAAAGAAAAAATACCTTCTCTCCAACTTGAGGCTGGATTTTAAAATTAATTACAAAAGTCTGTCAAATGACTGGTGATTTTGATAAATGATAGGCACACAAAGCACAGAAATTAATTGAAAATTTCTCCATATGCACTGAGAGGAGATTATAACTTGTGAAATCTGTGAAAATCATACGCTTTTTGTCTCTTTCTCTGTATGTTTTCATTGCCAAAGGTGTGCAATGTCATGTTATCGAAAATTTCCAATCATTTACTTGTGCCCACACAAGAAAACCACCCTCGAAGTGCGCTCAAGAGTGACCTTATCGCGAAAATCATGCTCAATCATTAAACAGTGAAAAATGACACTCTTCACACTGCATTGCTTTCAATGCATGACATTCCTTCAATTGTTGCACATTCACGAGAGTGTCAAAGAGAAAAATCCCATCGAATCTTAAATGCTCTAAGAAAATTGTGTGTGTGTGTTTGTGTGTGATTGTTGTGAAAACTCAGCAATTTGAAATAAATTAGGGCGGTACTGTTTTTCTCAATTCATTGTATTTTTTCCCCCGTGTTGCGTTTTAATGTTTTTACTTTTTAATGAAATCACGACGTGAGAAAGGCCAAATTATTTAATAATATCATAAATAACACATTGTTGTTTCCCTCACTGAATTTACATAAATAAATCATGAGTTAATGATGAAGATTTACTTCAGTAAAATCCTTGTGGTGTTAAAGATTAAGATCTAAATAAATGTAAATGTAAAGGCTCTTTTTCCTTCACCACAATCAACTGTCTGATTTGTCTTTCTTTTGTAAGGATAATTTTATGGTGACTAAAAACATCATCATCATTTCAATTTAGACATTAACCTCTAGTTATAAATTCTACCATTTTTTTTTGACGATGCAAAACAAACAAAGTATGCATAAAAAGTACGAAGGATTGCGAGAATTTGGTACATTTGCTGATGGTTGTGACCTTATTGTTGCAAAATCACTTCAACAATGTCCACTGTCATCAGAGAGTTCAGAGAGGGAGAAAAAGCATCATTTTGCATATTTCTCGATGAATTTTTTCCACCTCAACAACAAGGTGTCTATTTTTTCCACGACACTCTCGATGAGGTGTTGAGTGATCAACACAACAACGACGACGAAGAAGAAAAGAAAAAATAGTAAATTGCAGATGCAAAAATTGAATGGGTTTTTACCTCTTGACTTGTGTCGTGGGTTCCTCAATGCTGTTGTCGCTGCCGCCGCCACTCCGATTGCCAATTGTGGCCACCACTTGACGATCGGTATTGCATTTGGGAACCCACGACGCCACAGCCACATACACCATCGGTTTGCTCTGCACAATGAGACGCTGCTTCCCACCACTCTCGAAATTATAGTAGAAATCACCGTCATCCCTGCAATTCTTACTATTTTTACCGCCAAGTCGCTGTCGCTGCTGTTGCTGCTTCGGATTGCCATTCTCATCAACACTCCCCGCGTCGCCATCAACATCATCCGCACCATCGTCATCCACACAGCTGGAGTCTGGTGTGAGCGATGATGGGATGCTCTTGGAGAAGTCCACATACAGTGGCTCATTCGATGGCTTCCTGTGGAATTCATCCTCAAATCCACTCGTGGACGATTGTCGTTCGTAGTTGCTGTAGCTGCTGTAATTGCTCGATACACCGCCAGAATTGGAGCGTCGATTGCGGAAAAACTCCTCCTCGAACGGCATTCCTTGTGGGAATTTACTCGAGAAAGCCTGACTGGACTTCTTCCTCTCCTCCACATCCTTCATGTGAAAATCCCTCCTTGTTGGGGACTTTTTCCTCTGCACGGCCACACTGTTGATGCCATTGTTGAAGAATTTCGTCGATTTGCCCGCCAAATTGGTCTGATAGGCACGCTTCTGACTGCCACCTGTTGCCATCACACCCCCACGATACTTGGGCACGATGGACTCCACCGACGTGCCACTGCTGCCATTGGGGGACTTTGAGTGGATGGAACACGGTGGTGTCTTATCACTGCTCGTTGTCCATCGTGTATCAACAACTGCCTTCACCTGTTGATAGCGATTTGACACACGATACGTGACACTGGGCCGTTGAGTTTGCTGCCATCGTGTTGTGACGAGTGTCGGCGAATCCGGTGGCAATTTCCTGCATGTCTTCATCAATGGCACCCGCCTCTTGGCTTCCTCATCGCTCCCAACACTCTTGCCATTCCCGCTCACGCCGCCAGCAAACTGCCGAACACTTTTACCGCTACTCCCAAGAGATCCAACCCGTATCCCAAGAAGCACCGGCGAGCTGGTCAATCCACTGTACTTTGTCGTGGAGCGAAATGAGCTGTATGGCCTCTGCTGTACTGATATTTGTCCACTAGACATTGTTTCGATTGGCGCGCTTATTGTGGCTTTGCGAGTCAAATACTTTCTTCTCTGGACAGTGTTTTGTTGTTGTGTTGTGTTGATCAGTTAATTGATTTGTTGCTTTTATCACAACTCCTCAACTTCTGTCTTCACTCTATTTATATATATATTTATTAAATGTTCTCTAGTAAATGCACTTGTTTTATTGATATAAATTCATTCATGTGTTGTTTTATTTAACTCTTTTCTCTATTGTTCTTATGACTTGGAATTTTATTTTATTTTCTTTCTTTATCACATTTCACTCGTTCAAATTCATTTCTCCGCAAATAACTTCTTTTTTTTAGGAATCATTTATCATTGTGCTGTTTTATATTCCAGGCAAAAGAGCGCAAAGAAAAAAAACTAATACAATATCACAAAATTTATGGCAGTGAATTCTTCTAAATATTTTCTCTCTTCAATTCTCTCTCCACAATGCATTTATATATGGTTGCGCGCCTCACTTTAGCTAATTTCAAATTACAATGGATGGTTTTTAGGATTATTAAATGATATCAATTAAGCTTACATGATGGCAATTCTCCACATTTGGCCAAAGAATATCAATCAGACGACGAATTGGGCTAAAAGCCGCTTAGTAAGAAAGAAAAAACAACGCATGGCAAGTGACACAGTTAGAAAGTTTTCAACCAAAATTAAAATACTCGCCCAGGAAAAAGTCATCAAATTTCACTTGATTCTAATTATTTCAGCTATATATATATATCGCAAATACACCTTTGACATCTTTCTGAGAAAACAATAAAACAATCGCTTGCAAATCATTCTTCAAAGTTGTGCAAAGAAATTGGAAACAATTTGTTCCGCACAATGCAATGTGAAGTCAAAATAAATACAGAGAAAAAGAACGATTTTCTTGTCTCCTCTTTCGTCATGGAGATTCAATGATTAACTCTGTAAATGTGCAAAAAAATATTTCACACAATTTACCTTTTCCGCACACCTTTTTCTCTCTTTCTCTTAATTTCAAATCACAACGATAATAATAATGTGCATATTTCAATAGTTGATGTACAGTGCGGAATTAAACAATTGAATTCCAAATTATATTTTAAGAGATTTCTCCCTATAAAAATTCCGCACAGTCATAATAAGTGAGTGTTTAAATAGGAAAAATCCTCACTTCTTTGTTGCAAAATCTTTCACTTGTGATAACCCAATTCTGCAATCATTGAAAAAACGTCACTGAATTGAGTATTGATTCATAAATCTTCCCATGCGTCTGATAGCGATTCCACAAAACCCTTCGTCTATCAGACTATAATGCGATTTTACGCAATTATTCTCTCCGTCTGCGCATCTATCATTGCAATTCTATTCACCTTTTTTCTGTCTCTCATCACACACAAATACCAAAAAGGTGCGAAATTAGGCCATCGTGTCTATAAGTCAATAGAGCGATAGCAAAAAGGAAGAGAAGCATGGAAGAAGCAGAACAAATAGGAAAAAATTGTGTCAATATCATGGATTCTATTGTGGAATTCTTGGCTGTTTTTTTCTCTCTCTTTCCTTAACAAGTGCTTCACTTCCCTTGTCTGGTTTTCTACCTTCTTTATACAACAACATCGTGTGTACTTCAATTGGTGTTTGCTTGAATCACTTTTTAACGGTGTTCAATGTATACACTCGATTGAATTTGATAAGAGAGCGCGCAAAATGTATTGAAAAGGCAAATAGTGACAAGACACGTTTGCAAAAAAGGAAAATTTTCGCTACAACACACTTCCATTTCTCACTGTGTCGCTATTTTTTTTCTTCTCTCTTTCCATCAACATTGCCAATTGTTGTCATTCCCAGCAAAGTTCAAAGTCACATCGTGCAATTGATATTTGTTGTTAAATCTCTCCTCCCTCTTTCTTGGGCATTATGCACTTCATCTTGAATTCCCTTTTCTCACTTCTCATCTCTCTCTCTCTCTCTCTGCGAAGCAAAAATTGCAACCGCGCACAGTGTTGCAAAAGAAACACAGCAAAGAACTCTCCATCACAAAAAGAAGAAAAATGAATTCGAAACTCGCTGGATTTTAAGTAAACTTGAACGAGAAATATATATAATAATGTTGATTTTCCCTCTCTTTTCTCAAGACCTTTTTCGCCACTGACCAAACATGTGCAAAAAAGCGGAACTTTCTTCTTCTTTGCAGACATAATTTTACTTTATATATTTTCCATCTGCAACATTTGGGCCTCAAGCCAAAGACCACCTTCTTGTTGCCATGATTCACAAGGTAAAAATGTTTAAGTGTCTGGAGAATCTCCCCATTAGTATGCCCACTCTGAGACGGTAAGAAAAGAAAGAGAGAGAGAAACACACCAATTGCACGCTGATGTGCTGAAATATATTTTTGCCAAAAATCCAAACAGAAATCTTGAGCGAGTGACGAAAAAATCAAGTGCAAATTTGCAAAAATGAAAAACAATTTCTTTCAGACACACGCAAACAACAATGCCAATAATATAATATTTTGTGGACAAACAAATCCTCAAAGGCAAAATTATTTTTCTCTAAAATTGAACCCAAAAGAAGCACAACATCTGTCACCAACAGAGGATGACACTCTTGCCAAGATTGACCCATTCTTTGTCAGACAAACATCATCTTCCCCATGAGTCAGAGAGAAAAACGGCTCTCTCTCTACGTGCTTTTCAATTGCAAAATGTGACTCTACATCTTTTCTTTTTCACTATTCTTCGACATCTTTTTGCTATTGGAGTGAAAATGCTGGGAAAAAATAAGAAGCAACAGTAACAGCAAGACTTTATGGAAGTGATTCAACTTTTTCTACATCACAATTCTCTGAGTCTCTGATTGAAATTCTCAACAATGTGGAGAAGCGCATCATGTGGTCAAAGAGTTGTCGTTCAACGGAAATTTGCCATCAAACAGAAATCGTCACAAATTTTCAACAAACACTCTTATTAATCTTCTTCTTTAAAACGAAAGAATCTCAAAGGAAATCTCACTTTGTTGGAACGGGGGAGAAGGAAAACTCACTTGAAAAACTTTTAAACACTCTCAATCTAAATGCACTTCTTCTTCCATGTAAAACTGCAGAAGGAGTGTGCCGTTCACACTGCTGCCTTCTGCATGGAACCAGTCGGTGATACTGAACTGGTTGGAGGTTCTCACCAAACCGCAATCCCCTCAATCACTTGAGGTTGTTGTGTTGTTGGAGTCACCGCGAAGCCCAATACAGCGCGCGCCAAAGCCAACACACACTCACTCAACTCAAACACGCACGACAGAATAGAAGGAGAGTATCCAGTATAATCTTCCAACAGTGAGTATATTTTTGATGTGAATGACTGTGTGTGACTCAAAAGTAACCGTCCGTTCGTCTCACAACCACATTTTCTCTGCTTAAAGCTCAAAAAAAGCAAGCAAAAAACTTACAAGAAAGCCTCTCAACTCAATCGAGTAGCTCTAGACTCTCTCTCTCTCTCTCTTTCTCCGTTTCTCTGGAAGTTCCCCCCACTATTTTTCATACCATCAGCAGCATTAGCTTTGGGTACCAAAACTTTGGCTGATTTCTCCAGATTGCACGACAAGAAGAAGACAGAGAGAAAAGAGATGAAAAACCCTCGCAATTTCAACATTTCGCGACACGCAAAATCAACATACTTCAAAAATCCAACGAGGAAGACAGACAGAAAAGCCCATTGAAAGCGTGAAGAAAAAAAATCTCAAGAATCTTCCAGAATCCCAAGGAATTTCATCTTAAATTTCGTGATCCAATTGAAATATACTAATTACACACACACACGTACACATTTTTGAGAAGGAGTCAAAGAAGAAGTGAAAAATTAGTCACAGTTTAGGGATTTAAACCTCAAGCTTGCAACATTATAATATTTGGGCAACTGTATGGTAAGAAAACAACGGTAAAATTGTAGTAAAAGCAAACATTTGTTCTTGTACTCCAAAGAACATCGCTCCTTTTGCTGAGCACATTTTTCACGATGGCTCCGAAAATAGGCAAAAAGTCTGGCGGTAGTTTTGCGATTAAAATCACACCACGACTTGGCTGAATATTTCACAGATTATCATGAGAGATTTGAATTTCTTGCAATTTATATCACTATTATTTATTCCCATCAATAACATTAATACACTCTTCACATAAGGTCAAGAGTAACGTCTCAAGACCCTTGCAACTATCATTAATCAAAGTAATAATTGAATGGATATAGCGTGATGGATCGGCAAAAAGAATTCTCCTCTTGTTCTAGAATTAGGTCAGAGTCGCTCAAAAACACCTACGAACCATTTCTAGACAAAACTCCAGAACAGAAACCATCGCATTCTCTGCAGAGGACAATTAAATTTCTCCTCCCTCATAAATTTTCACACTAAATTTGACATTGAAACAAAACCTCTTCTGGGTTAATCTTTAAGCTTCCCAGAAGGTGAGGTCATTATTGTGCTTTAGCCTTTTTCTTCAACATCACAATCCAAGAGTGGCACTTTTAGCAACTTTTTTTCTTATTCTTATTGCCTATGATTGTTGAAACAATGTTGACATGCTGACTTAAATATTTATTTGTCAACATTAAACTTCCGAAATACGACATTTCATGTCAACGAGATAATTTGACTGAATTTTTATTGAAGCTCAATGTGAAAAACAACATCTTAAGTACCAATTTTGAGTGTCTGTGTCTCTCTAGGCGTTTAGGTATGAAAAGGAACTTCTTGGAATTGAGGTTTATCTGTTTTTCTTTTCGCTCTCTCTCTCTCTCCTCCCAGAATGACTGAGATTTTTCGTCATTTCATCTTCTGACACGCATTTCTTCTCCACCCAATTTTAGAGTCTTAATATGGATTTTTCATTGAGTACAAAAAAAATCAACATTTACAAATAGATCACAGACCATTTTAGATTGATAGATTTGTTAACATCCTCAATGGAAGAGAATACAAAAGATTCCTGAATAATTGGTTGGAGAAAAAAGTCGCCTTCGTAGACTCTGTGATGATGATATGTAGGACAAACGTACCACCCATTCCACCTTCACTCAAAAAACCACCTCAATAGGTGCAATGAGTATATAGAAATTCTATAGAGACGACGCGATGGAAGACGGTGAATCAGACAGTGAAAGAATTTTGAAGAGTTTGTGATGCAAAAAAAGCCACAACGCATAGTAAATTCGCAAAA